AAAAAACTTTCATAATAAAAACACTTAAATTAGGAATAAAAACCAACTTCCTCATCTTGATAAAGAGCATCCACAACCCTTCTACAATCTACATACCTCTAACATACTGCATGGTAAAAGAGTAAAAGCTTTCCCCTTAAGATCAGGAACAAGATAAGAAAGTCTGCCCTATTCACAGCTGAAAACTGAAGGTTCTAACAAGGACAATTAGTGAAGGAAAGGAATAAAAGGCATCTACATTGGAAAAGAAGAAAACCTTTATACACTATCAGTGAACTGTATGAAAATGAAGTTAAGAAGACAATTAAATTTACTAAGTATCAAAAAGATGAAGACAGTGATCCTGAAAATCAGATAGAAATGCAGAGCACCCAAATTAGATAAAGGATCTTAGTAAAAAAGAGCAAATTGGAAGGACTGATAGGGCTGAAAATTATATAACTTATATAGCTAGCAACTTGTTCTGGGGAGGAAGGGCCAGGTGTAAATAGCAGCACCGCTGCTTCTAGGGATAGAGCCAACACAGTTTTTTAGATGGAGGAAGAGATGGAATGTCCTTCCAAGCTATATTTTTTTCCTGCTGGGTGGCTGGAAAAGAAATGCTAAGCTAATGTAAAGAAAATAAAGCTGTAGGGTCAATTAAAAGAAAATGTATTAGAACACATGAACACCATTAATTTCTTAAGGCTTGTCTGTAACACAGCTTTTAATATTAATTTTAATATTGTATTGGAAAACAATACAAGCCACATAATAGATTATCAGTTTAATTAGGACTTGGAAGCTCTCAGTATTAGTTTGCTTATTTGTATCAATTTTTAATAAGGATATGTCATGACAAAATGTAACATACCATCAGTTATTTCAAAGACAAAACTACTTTTCCTTGGTGTCTGGCTGTGTAAACTATCCATAAAAAAAGTATAGTATTCAGAGTATTCAGCTGTATTTTTACAGCCTCCACGCTGTATCTTTCAGCCATTAATGGGTATGGTCAGTTTACCAATACTTACTGAGAATTTCCCACATCCCAGGAAACATGTGCAGCACACACATAAGATTTGGTTCCTGTCTGCAATGAACTACAGATGTCACATCAACAAGTTTAATAGAATGGGGTCAGTGATGAGCCCTGGATAATTGTTATTCAATCACAGAAGAGGGGGTGCAGTCCACGTGGGGCGCAAGGAAGGTTTCGTAGAAGACACTCAAAGGAGCCAGCCAGGAAAGAAAGCCATGTGCCTCACAGACTAGAGAACCACTTGAACAACGGTGTGGGGTGTGAGGGTGGGGAACCATAAGCACTGGATGGTGTTACTAGAGCATGAAGAGTGTGATGGAAAGTGTCGGGAGACAAGGCAGAGAGGTACTTTTTTTTTTTGAGCCTAGAAGAAGGAAGTGCCTGGGAGATCTGCTGTTTAGACAGATCACTATGGATGCAGGGTGGATTTAGGGAGCAGCAATGAAAAGTGGGTGCAGGGAACCCCAACTGGAATAGTGATGAGTGACTGAGAAGGAAGCACACTTACTGAAGGAAGCATGGACTGGGGAAATAGCAAGGAGGTGAGCAATGAGGAGAGAGGTGGTGGGTAAGAGAGAGGCACAAATCCAGGGGAACTTGCAATTTCTGACGTGGTGCAGGGATAGATAAAAGGAATGAACTTAGACAAGATATATAGGGAAGGCAAACAAGTCTGGAAGATGTTAGTGATACCTAACCTTTATTAATCATCACTTATATGGACCAGGCATCGTGTCAAGTTTTTCATGTATTTCCTCAGAATTTTCTAAAGTAGTTAATATTATTGTCAAGATGAAGAGAGTGAAAACGAGATGTTGAATAGCTTGGCCAGATCCACACAGCGATAGTGGTAGGTAGAAAGAGGCTAGAGTCCAGACATTCCAGCTCCAGGGCCAATGTACTTCCTGACCAGGTTTTATATGCATGTATGTCCAAGAGTGTGAAGAGCCTGTGGGACACCCATGGGGGAGAGGTCTGGGGCTTGGCAGGAGGGGGTGCTCAGGGCCTAGACCATGGTAAAAGCAAGCGTCGAATTACTCAAGGTGAGTAGTGACTGAAGCACAGTGCCCTGGGAGATCCTGAAGTTAAACAGTGGTGGGGTGGGGTGGGGGGCACAAGTAAGACAAAAACAATTTAATTTTTAAATATGAAGACAGGACTCTACTATCTGGGCAATAGGAAACTGGGCAATCACGGACAGTGTAGCAGTATCGAATAAAAACATCCCCGAGTTAAGCGACATATTAATTATAATAGTTACTATGGTGCATAGTAATTATCCTAAACAGTAAGCATTTTACATAAATAGCAGTAATTAGTATAGCACAAGTTTCCCAAACTCTGTCCTGTGGAATAGTAGTTCCTGGAGCTGTTAATAAATGTTTGGATTAAAAAAGGGCTTTGGAGTCAGTCAAGTTTAGAAATACTGGTATAAATTAGATAAGTGCCAAACCTTAGAGTATAGTTTCTCTTCTCTTTTAGGAGGCAGGATGTAGAGCAGCTGAAAATATAGGCCCTGAGGACAGACAGGCTGGGTTTGAATCCAGCTCCTGACCAGCTGGGTGATTTGGGCAGTTTCCAATACGGTCATTTTCTCTTCTATTATTAGGAGAATATAATATATATTAGGAGAATAGTAATATATTCAATTCGATTGTTAAGGGATTAGTTGCACTAGTACAATCTAGCAGAGTGATGTTTCCACAGACATTCTTATCTATAAACTATACTATTCAAAAAGTCTCCCTGATACTCTAGAGTCTTTTCTAATGATCCTGGAGAAAGAGGGTTTTCCTTCTCCCAGCCATCAGGAGATTATTTCTCCGTAACACCTTAACGGACAATCTCCCCCCACCACCCACATACGATGACACCCATGTTCATGAAAAGTTTAAAGTACTGACTCTGATTCCTGTTAATTGAAATTCTCTGTCTCTACCTCCTCTCCATCATAGTCCAGGACTGAGAATAACTAAATTCTTGCCCTACTCTAGGGAAGAGAAAAACCAGGAACAGGAAGGATCCATACCCAAGCAGCATCATTTATAGTTTACGCACACCTGAAAGAAGTATGGGCTTTTTTTTTTTTTTTTTTTTTGCAAGGGAGGAACAGCTTAGCAAGTGAAGCTAAGGCTGCATTTAATTCTCACTTACTTACTAGGTTGAATGCCACGGAACAATTCACACAACCAAACATGACAGTTCTTTCAGGTTATAGGAGGGGCTACAAATTAGTGACCCTGGAGGAAGAGGGTACTCATTTCTCTTCCAGTGTTCTAAGAGATTAGCTCTCCAAAAGCCCTAAGCAGATAAACCACCATACATGTGCCCCACCCCTCATTCATTCACACAGTGGCTGACATCAGAATACCCTTGGTGTGAGGGGTTACCTCAGGCTTTGCCTGCTTCTCTGAATTCCCTTGATTGAGTTTGGGAGATGACAGAGCTGTGCTGTGGGAGGGAAGATTTTCTCGGTTTTCCTTGGCATAATGAACACTAAATGATGATGCTCCAGACTAGAATGGCCAGGGGCTGAGCAACTTTGACTTCTTAACCATGGTGAAGGCATAATGATGGCAATGGGGTTTCTTAAACCTCACTGTGTGACCCACCTGCTTGGCACCCATTAAAGACTCACACCACCTCCTTAGGTAGAAACTTCCTTTGTGAAACAGAGGTGAAGAAAAAAGCAGACATTTCCTGTTCTGCTTTGGAGGAGGGTGGGGTGGAGCACTTTGCTGGTGAGCACATGCATTACACACACTCCCACAAATGGCCTCATCAACCACCAGAGGGGATGCTTTCTAGAAATACTGCTATTTTTCAGCCTAGAAGCCAAGTCTAGGCCTGACCGGTGGTGATCCAGGCAAGAACTCCTCCCTCTCTGTACCTTAGTCCTCTGTTAGGTGAGGCAGGTGTATAGGTGAGTTGTGGTTCACATCTCGAGGGTTCTGTTCACTTCCAGTGCTGTGTAACCAGAATGGTAGGGGCAGACTCACCCACCAGAAATGGCCTACTCTCACCTCTACCCCAGATGCCTTGCGCCAGAGACAAACCTCTCTCCTCACAAGTATTATCAGGGTCCACCTCAGGCCCTAGAGAGCACCTGGGACCCCAACTGGGAGTTTAGGGGGCTTGTTGTCTTGACAGTCAGGAACAACGGCTGCTGAAGGGAAGGTACCTTCCTTGAAAGTGAGGGGAGAGGAGCCCTCAAGCTATCTAGGTCTTTACCCTTGGTGGGTAAAGCCTGACTGTTCCTCTCCTTCCCAACAGTCTGGGAAAGGGGTGAAGGGAGGGATGCCATCCAGGGAAGATGGCATCTTCCCCCTTCTTCTCCCTTCCCCATCTACTCCCTGGGGGCAGAAATCTCCATCCCTTTTGTTCCCTTTATTTTTTCTTGAGATGGGGGTCTTTAGCCCCCTCCCTTTCTCTGAGCGCCTCTATATTCCTTTTTAGGCTGTGCCTCTCCAATCCTGGGTGAAAGGGTCGGCATTCTCCTT